AGCGATCGTTCTGTGTGATTATTCTCCGTCTGTTGCTCCTCTGTGTTGCTGCAGATTTTTAACTGGACACTCCCAGGACTAGTTCCATCCATGGATAGATGGCAGGGGGTGGGGAAGGAAGGGTTGTATATGTACTGGGTTGGGCAGACAAAGCCTAGTGCCTGCTACTGCGACATCTTGCTGACATCACTCTGCATTATTCCCTGTTTTAATAAACCTTTTCAGTTAATCAAATGATGAATAGTCCATACCACTTCAAACAAGAGCATTTCTGCTTTTTCTTTTCATAGTGAACATGGTGCTATGCAAGGTGATCTTTAGTAAATACAGAAAAAGCAGTGACAGAGTTTAAAGAGAGGGGGACAATCTGAAATAGCAGTTAATGCAGATGAGTAAGACAACTGGCTTCAGAAACATGCGTAGCCTCATTCACGCCCTGTGATGCCTGAGAGGGCGTGTGAACAGTCCATTTCCAGGAAGGCCACTTAGCTAGCTTACCGGGAACGTACTAGAGGGCCAATGGACAGAGCAGAACTTTTCTGTATTTGGCCTATCTGGTCACGTTTAAATTCATACAGAGTCAGCCTTAGGGCAGCATCCAGAAGCTTTCTCTCCCTGGCACCCCCCACCCTATTTTTTTCTACCCTTCCTCCTGTCTTCCTAGATCCATCCTGAACAGGCCCCTCTGGCCAGGCCTGGGGAAAGGACTGTCCCTGGCTCGTTCTGGCAGAGGAAGGGTGGATCTACTTGGTTGGTCACCTCTTGCCACCCCACACATACATTTTCTATTCTTCCAAGAGCAGTATTAAGACAAAATCAAACCAAAACAACCTTGTGATGGCGTCAATACTGAACACCCTTCAATGTGTTAAGAGCTCCCCCTCAAGGTGGGGCTGGAAACCACAATGGGTGAGGAGAAACAAACTCCCTGCCTTACTGCGCTCTGGTGTGAGACCAGGAATTTATGCAAACCCGTGATTTTTCTCAAGTGGTATTTGGTAGTCCTCGTGTGGGCATGGGGGTGTCGGAGCCTAAGTGATGCTGGGATTTTCTGGAGTTGAGTGAGGACGAAGGATAAGGGGGCAGACCAGTCTGGGTGTGGAAGGAAGTAAAGGCTGTGTGTGTGTGTGTGTGTGTGTGTGTGTGTGTGTGTTGGGCGCAGTGGGTGCATAAGGAGAGGGAATAAAGAAAAATGAGCCTGGTCAGTGTGGCTCAGTGGTTGAGAACCGACCCAGGCACCAAGAGGTCACCAGTTCAATTCCCGGTCAGGACACATGCCCAGGTTGGGGGACTGGTCCCCAGTGGGGCGCATGCAGAAGGTGGCCAATCAGTGTTCTTTCTCCTTCTCTCTCTAAAATCAATAAAGACAAAAATATTTTTAAAAAAGAAAGAAAAACGAGAGGGATCTGAGGCATAGTGGCCTTAATAAAGATAAAGAACAGGGATTTTTCCCCCTACCTTCTTAATAAAAAGAAAAGAAAATATATCTGTAGAGCAGTGGTTCCCAACTTGGGATGGGGAAGGGATTTTGCACCCCCCCAGGACATATGACAGTGTTGGAGATGGTTTTGGTTGTCACAATGGGGGTTGCTATGACATCTAGTGGAGATATTATCCAGTCATAAACATCAAGAGTAATGAGGGGGAAAGCGTGCTCTAGAAGTTATATAATCTGAAAAATTACGTGTCCCCCAAATGAAAACATAACCCAGCACGTAAAACAATGCCTGGCTAAGGAACCCAGCCCTCGGCACAGCTCACACCGCTGCAAAGGTGAATATGAAGGTCTGTGAGACGGTGGGTGAGTTTCAAGAATTCCTTGGAAGGTGCGGTTGTGACTGGAGCCCTCACACCACCCGCACGGCTCAGTACCGGACGCCACCTCTACAGGCAAACAGCCACTTACAGAGGCTGCCTCGTGGGGTAGGATGATGCTCTTCATTCCCAGAGCAAAGATGCCCCCTTGTTTGGCTTGGAGGCAGCCCCCACGACTTGAAAACGTCTTCTGTTGATACAAGTGTGGATTGTTTTCAGAGCTGGGGATGCCTACGTTATTTTCTTCTTTAAACTGCCAAAATATTAGTCAACTTCATCGCTAAACTCTTATCTTGTTATTTTTTGTTTTATTTGTTATTTATAGACCAATTATCTAAAGCTAGTGACAAAGGAGACTGGAGCTTTTAGTTGTTTTGTTTTCCTGAAAATGCCAGCGAATTTTCTTCTTGCGTTCTAAAAATACGGAGATAATCTCTGTACTCTAGCTTGCTGCAGAGGGTGGGTCACTTCTGATCGCTCATTGGATGTTATATTTGGAAAACAAGTCTGCATTCTCCCCGAATGTGGGGAAATGCTATCGTTACCAAGATGCCACAGGACAGCCTCAGTGAGTTTGGGGTCAGATAGGCCAAACCAGTAGCAGACGAGAACCAGAGAATGTACCAGAATCACCTGGCGGCTCAGCAAACTGGACTGCTGGGCCCCCTTCCGTTTTTCTGAATCAGCAGACCCTGGCTGAGGCCAGGAACTTGCATTTCTGGCAAACTCCTAAGTGATGCTGATGTTACATACTGAAAACCACTGGATTTTCACATTTCTTTTGATGAGCTCTGTTTCCATGTTAGGTTATATTTAAGAAATCAGCTCTGGCCCTAGACAGTTTGGCTTAGTGGTTAGAACATTGGCCTGCAGACTGAAGGGTCACATGTTTGATGCTGGTGAAGGGCACATACCTGGGGTTGCAGGTTCAATCCCCGGCCCTGGTTGGTGTCATGCACGAGGCAACCAATCGATTTGTCTCCCTCATATCGATGTCTGTCTCTCTCTCTCTTCCCCCTCCCTCTCTAAAAATTGATGGGAAAATATCCTCAGATGAGTATTAACAAAAGGAAAAGAAAAAACTCTGTATGTTTCGGCACTAGAGAGTATGTTACTGGTAGAGAAGAGCTGGAAGTAGTTCTAACAGGTGTTCCTGTGAACACACATCTTGAGGGAAACACATTAAGCCTTACACTGTTTTGTAACCTTGCATGTTCCTAGCAACTGTTGCTATAATTTTTAATGACTTATTTTCTATAATCTCTTGAAAAGGACCCATTTAATAAATGCTCACCAAAACTGTACCTATGTAAACACATTAAAACCTAGAGTTAAAATAAGAGCCAAGCTCTAGGTTGTGGGCCTGAGGGGCCATATTCCTGGTTTGTGTAAGATACTATTAGATGTCCCAATAATGACAGCATCCCTTTTGTTTAGTTCTTCATTCTTTTTAATCATTTTGGGTAACAATTATCACAGAAAATAGGACAATGTTTTAGAATTTCCTTTGTCTTCATACTCTTGAAATTTTCATTCCTAGTTTGAAGATGTGGTGATATTCTTAAAATATTCTTGTTTTTTTAACCATTAAAAATGGAAACAATTTGTGGAGATCAAATTCCACAAGACAAGATGTAAAATAAAGATGAAGAACATTTGTCAGAGAACTGACATCAATGTAATAAATGACTCTATATTTTTATGGAAAATATCAGCGACCAGTTTCAATACTTGAAATACCTGTTTGGTAAAAATCTAATTTCATACTATTTTAACAGGAACAATGTGACTAGAGTTCAGTGGCCAAATCAATTTAGAAAATGATGATGGGTTAATCGGTTAAATTTCTTTCTAGGAAGACTTCTCAGTGAGTTTAATATGCTTGTAATCACCATGAATCTGCAGCCGTGACTCTTGTCAATATGACATGTTTGAGGAATTCTATTTTTTTTAAGTACAGTTGGTATACAGCATTATATCAGTTACATTGGTTTCAAGTGTACAATATAGTGATTTAACGTTTTATACCTTACAGTGTGCTCATCCCACTGAGTCTAGTAATCCTGTCACCCTGACACTCACCCCGATATTATGGACTAGATTCCCTCTCACCTCTCCACACACACCCCACCCCCTCTCCTCTGACAGCTATCCCTTTGGTCTCTGTCACTAAGAGTCTGGTTTTGTTTGGTTCATTTTAGTTTTTCAGATCCCACATGTAAGTGGAACCATATGGTATCTTTCTGTCTGACTTATTTCACTTAGCACAATACCTTCTAGGTCCATCTATATTGTCACAAATCCCAAGATTTCATTATTTTTCATTGCTGTATAATATTCTATTGTATATAAACCACCTCCTCTTCATTCATTCATCTGTCGATGGACACCTAGGTTGCTTCCTTACCTTGGCTATTGTAAATAGTGCTGCAATGAACATAGAAGTGTAGATATCTTCTGGAATTAGTTTTCATTTTCTTCAGATAAATACCCAAGAGTAGAATTTCTGGGTCATACAGATCTATTTTTTATTTTTTGAGGACTTTCCATACTGTTTTCCATAGTGACTGCACCAATTCACAATCTCACCACAGTGCATCAGGGCTCCCTTTTCTCCACACCCTCACCAGCACTGACTTGCTGACTTTCTGATAATTCTGACTGGTGTGAGGTATCTCCTTGTGGTGTTGATTTGCAGAGTGAAGAGCACCAGTCTGGGCTTCCTGGTCTTGATTCTGACTCCACAGTTTCTGAGCTGGGAGCTTCTGAGGCACAACGGGGAAGAAGGTCCATCAGAGGATAGAACCAGGTTCGGGAAAAGCAAAGCTGAGAGATGGAAAGAGGAAGAAGCAGGGAGGAGGAGGTAGAGAGAAGGACAGCATTGATTACACTGGACTGTGATGTGAGCGAAAGGAACCTTTGCTGGGATCAGCCACAGACGTTTCAGAGGTGTTATAGCAGTTAGCATACCCTGATGAACACACCCCAATTGTACACAGCGATGTAGTTCAATGTCCCTCTCTGCCCAGTGGTTTGAAAACAGTGAATTTTCTGCCTAGTCTGTTTCCACTTTACGAAGCATTTAAGGGATACATTTTTTGGAGGGACTTTAATATATCAAATAAAAACTCCAAACTAGTAATTATTATAAAATATAGTTTAATTTCACTCATTTACCACAAAATTAAAAAATACCAATATACAGAGAAGCACGAGTGAACTGGAAGAAAGCTAAAAATTGTATAAAAGACAAACTAAACTCAAGGGTGCCTGAGCAGTGGCACATGCACCATACACTCAGATGAGTTCGGAAAGCATCTTCCAGACTGGACAGGTTTTCTTTCCAAGGTTAGCTTTTTACCATAGCCACATCCGGAGAGCTCCCTGAACTAAATCCTTATATTATATGGGAAGAATCTTCTCTGAGAAAGCATTGCTCATAAAATAACTCATACCAGAGAGGCAGATGTATTCTAGACACAAAAGACATAAATGCTTCTCCTAGGCCCCAGGGAACTTGGACAAATTCACCTAATAAACACAAAGCTCTAAAGAAATGGAAAAGTGACACCTAGTGGCCACTTAGCAGTTTTTCTTTATGGCTTTTGATTGCTCTGCCCATGATATCCTGCTTGGCAAATCCGAAGCTCCAATTCCAGAGTCCAACAACCACCTGCTTGAGTGGGTGATGCCTCTTTCGAGCAGAATCTGAAACGACACTGCCAAACAAGGTCCGACAACCAGACAGTGGCTCTTTCATTTCCCTGTGCCCCTGTCTCTATAGAAATTCAAAGAACACGACTCATAAATACAGGCTTTCCCCGAGGTAATTAAATACCTTAATCCCATTTACTCACCAACTGTCTCTATTCTGTAATTTTCATATTTGTCTTTTGGTTTCTCAGTGGATTTCCAAATTTAGTTCCTACCATAGGGGGTCAACATATACCTCGTTTTATTTGATTTCAGGCTATCACCCTGTAATAAAATATCTATCTGATCACATTTTTAAGTTTACCATTTTTAAAAAAGTTTTAAACTTGATATATGGGTAGACATTCAGTTATTTGTACTAAATCAAGAATAAATATACAGCTTTTTTAAACCATAGCGTTTAGAGGTAAATATCATATTCACGGTATAACTTCTGGTCTACTTTAATAACATTCACTTAAAATGTTCTAGAGCAGAGCTGTCCAATAGAAATATAATGTGTGGCACATGTATCATTTTAAATCTTCTAGTAGCCACATTAGAAAAGTAAAAAGAATTTCATGTTTTAATTCAGTAAATCCAAAATATTATTTGAACATGGAATCAATTTAAATTGTTAATATTTTATATTCTTTTATTCGAAGTATTTGAAATGATAGGACATTTATATCTAGAGCCCATCTCAATTTGAATTTAGCTACATTTAAAGTGCCCAATCGCCACATGTAGCAGGTGGCTAGCACACTGGACAGCACAGTTCCAGAGTCTGACCCCAACGCTAAGTCCTGTGGATGGGAACCCAGAATCAGAACTGGAGGTAACCTCGGGGATAAACCTCTGGCTGTAATCGAGGACACGGCCTGCTTGCAGCCCCATGCTCCATTCGGGGGTGGCTCTTCCGACCCGGCACTGCTCCCACCCCTGCTCCACAGGGGATCTTAGGGTAAAAGACGACGACCACTCTTTTCACGATGCTTTCATTCAGTGTACAGAAAATTTCAACCAAGATGCAAGAAATGAATTGGTAGGAGACAAAGTAACATGGAGTAAGCCATAAAAATATCTGCCACTCCTAACAGCCATCAAATGCAACTAGAATGTGTTTTGAAGAAAACACTGAACTTGAGAGAGCTACAGTATCATACAACATGTGGGTTGGATTCCGGGTCCAGGGCAAGAGGATCTACAGAAAAATATTAGCGTGGGTTATTAAAGGGTCAAAGCATCCAACTGACTACCTGCCAACTGGTCTCTGGAAGAACTCCTCCTGCAAAGAGAACAAACTACTCCTGGGCAAGGCAGCAGCGGCTTGTCTCCAGAAACTCGAGAGATGATCCTAGCATCATGTGAAGTTTGTCCCCTCCAGGCACAATGACCTAACCTGCAACCACTGGCCTAAGTCACCCTGGAGGCCAAGGCTAACCTGCAGTGGTTCAGACCCCTCGAGTGTCATGTCTGTGAGGCAGGCCCCTCTGTCCAACTCGGAACAGATGTGATCGTTCATGCTTCCGCAGACTTAAGGGTCACACTTAGGCTTCTTCAAACTCCTCCCCCTCATCTTGTAGGATTTCTTTGGCTTATTCGAAACCTGGATGTCTCAAGTCCTAAAGTGTCAGAGCCAGGAGTGGTGCCAACCCTCTGACATTGCTGGAACAGTGTATCGGCTCAAGAGGACAATGCACCAACACATCCTTGCCCACAGAGCCCCTGCACATGTGACATTTGAAGGGAACATCTGCTTTTGGTTACTGCCTGTTGGTATACAGTGATACCTCGGTTCTCGAACATAATTCGTTCCAGGAGGACGGTCGAGAACCAAATTGTTCGAGAACCGAAGCAATGAAATAATGGAAACTGGATTAATTCGTTCCAAGCCCCAGAAAATGCCTATTTACTGGCCTAATTTGTATATAATATGTAGAAAAACATAAGTCTCAACAAGAAATAAAAGTGTACTGTATGTCTAAGGGTTAAATTCAGTGTAAAGCGTGACTCTCTCCACAAAGCGTGACTCTCTCTCTGCACTCACACTGATGACGCGAGCAAGGCGCGCTGGGCCGAATGAACGCCATTCGGCTCAACTCGGCTCATCTCGGAAGTTCGAGTTCCGAATATTTGTTCGGATTCCAAGACAAAAGTTTCTCGAATCTCCTGGTCGAATACCGATTTGGTCGAAATCCGAGGCGTTCGAGAACCGAGGTATCACTGTATTTGCCATTAACACATCTGACTCAAGTTCAATCTACTCCTTCCAGCCTAAAGAAATACGCAAGATCGAAACGACGCTTTGTTATGGTGAGGGGTTCCGAGGGCCATCAGTGGGAGGCAGAGAACCACCTAGAGAAAGAAAACTGAACCTAAGCCCCACATCTGAGCCTCAGGGTTTCCCCACCAGGTCCCCAACCTATCTTTCTTTCATTTGTGGGGCACGAGAGAGAATATATGGGAACATCCTTGGTAAACTAGAAAGAGCTCTTAAAATATAAGGCGTTAATGGAAACATCTTCAAAATAGTAGATGTATCTATGGTCCTTTAAATATTCTTAATTCTTGCACCCAATTTGAGCCACCTCTGGATTAATTACTGGCTTAAAAATGCTCTCGAAAGGTTTAATTATAGCTACAAAATTGGTTTTTAAATTCTTTCTCAGTGCCTCATGTTTTTAATGTAGTTACCATGTAATTTCCTAGTAATCTACAAGGGCCACCACAGGTTCTTGGGTCAGTCAGTTAATTACTCATTTAACCAGTAAGCCACTGCTTCCCCAAATGTGTACAAAGAAACTGGTTTATACACATTACACATTAAGAAAATATGAATTTAATTGTCTTTACACAAAACATTTAATCTGCCTGGGCCTGTTTCTTCCCCTAAGACAATCAATTACTACAGAGCATTTCAACATCAAAAAACTTCCATCTGCAATGAAAAACTTGAGTGGTTTCATTAAGACTAAACGTGCAAAAATTAATCAACAACATCTAGGGCCCCAAATCTTTCCTTTTCTGTAAGCAAAGTTGAAAGTCTCTCAACAATTCTGAGTTTTAAATTAAAAAAAAAAAAAAAAATCTCATTTAACATCTATCTCAAAGTGCTCGGCTGGGCATAAATACCCTGGCCTTGTGCTCGCCCAGGTCCACAAAAACCAAATAGTATTCAGTGACTATACATTGCACTGTCCCTTTAAATGTTCAAGTACTCACCATTTTTTCTTAAAAAAATACATAAGCCTATCCTCAATTAAGGAATATACAAGATATGGAAATGCCCCAAATTATACAAATCTGTTATAAGTCAATTAAATGAATCTTAGACACAAGAAAAAGAAATGCCAACATATTAAATTTCCCAAACTCAAAAAAACTGCATCAAAAAATGAAAACAAAACCAAAGCAAGATGTACGTGATACTCTTGGTTAGAAATATTTTAGCAAAAAATAGCAACTAGTAGGTTTAAAGGCAGTTGGCTGAGTAAAGGGGTCTGTAGAAAACACCGAGCAGTTCTAGTGGAAGGAAAACATCACCTTTCCCCAGATCCCTGTGAAAGTAGGTGCAAATCTATAAAAATTGGTACACCCTTAATAAAGGATACAAAGAGTATCAATACAGTATAGAAGAATATATAGTTGTTGTTGTTTTGTCAAGGAAATGCTATAAAACATTTCTCACTTTTGGAGTGAAAAATCAAATGCTAAAGTGTCCAGTGGATGTCGCTGAAGTCCTCAGGGTCTCCCAGGCCCCCCTCTGCTTCTAAGTAATTCATGAAGGCAGCTATGGCTGTGTTGTCATTGTCACACAGGACATCAAAATCCAGCTGGGCACCACCACCTACAGAATGAAAATACAGGCCCACGCAAGCACATGGGAAGGTTAACAAGGACTACTATAAACAAGACAAAGCACAGCTAGGATACCACACAGTGCATTTTTTTGAGGGCAAACTATAGGTCTTAAATTGCAGAAGCCAGATACATTTTTTAATGGGTCGATTATTTTTATAACAATCTGCAGTCAGATAAATTGTCTGTGAGTTTTCTGATAGAAAATAACAGGCTGAAAAGGTATAGACTCGGAGACAGCTAGAAGCCAGAGGCTGGGGTGTGCATAGAGCCTGGAAGGAGAAATTTAACTTTAATCTGCTTTGTGAAAAAAAAATTCTATTTCTTTTTTTTTTTTTTTATCCTCACCCGAGGACATTTTTCCATTTTTTGTACAGATAGAGTGGGAGGGAGAGAGAGGAAGAGACAGAGAGAGAAACATCGATGTGAAAGGGACACATCGAGTGGCTGCCACCCGCACGACCAACCAGGGCCGGGGACAAACTGCAACCGAGGTATGTGCCCTTAGCGGGAACTGAACCCGGGTCTCTCCGGACCGCAGGCGGATGCTCCAACCACTGAGCCAAACCGGCCAGGGCAAAAAATTCTATTTCTTTACATCAAAAATGAGAAGGCTGAGACAAAGGTGTCTAAAGTCCCAATGTTCTTATAAAAGGGGAGTAAATAGCCCTGGCTGGTTAGAGTGTCGGCCTGCGGTCCAGAGAGACCCGGGTTCGGTTCCCGCTAAGGGCACGTACCTTGGTTACAGTTTGTCCCCGGCCCTGGTTGGGTCGTGTGGGTGGCAGCCACTCGATATGTCCCTTTCACGTCGATGTTTTTCTCTCTCTCTCTTCCTCTCTCTCCCTCCCACTCTATCTGAACAAACAAAATGAAAAAGTGTCCTCAGGTGAGGATATAAAAAAATAAAAATAAATAAATAAAAGGGAGTAAACAGGTTTTTTATTGAAAAAAAGGAGCTAAGGAGGAACAATGGAAATGAGACTTAAGTTTAAGATAAGGAAGAGGTTCCGAAATAAAGGGTTAAAACATAGCTACAGATGAACTGAAATTTTCCAGATGTCTTTCAAAGTACAATAGAACTGAGGTGATAAATAAGCGCTTCTGTATGAAGCGGATCCAGATCCCCTGCAGTTCTTTACCAAACATTTTCAGCAGATCAACGGCAGTTATGGGGGGTATAAAACAGTGTCATTTCAACTTACTTGATGTGAACTTTGTATAAACATAGTGAAAATGAATAATTATATCTTAAACTTTCTATCATTGGCACTCTTTAAAGATTCTTAAACTCCTGAGAGTGGACATTTTTTCCAGGACAGAAACACCTTAGTTACATTTTAATTGTATGTAAGAACAATACCCATAACTGATTCAGTTGATAACCGAATTTTCAATGACAGGCCCATTAAGCAACAAACATTTAAAAATCAAGAGTATGATTACTGCGTTTAGGATTTTGAATGGAAAAAAAAAATCTTAGTTTTAAATTTGTTTATTTCTCTAGAAATCTCCTGTGCCTGAAAATATAATGACTACAAAGGGGTTTTGGAAAAACAAAATGCCGGGCAGTTGCCAAGGAGAACTTACTTACCCAGGAGTGGTTCATGCCCAGGGGGAGCGGCAGCGTGGTGGTTCTGCCTCCTAGCTTCCAGCTCCCCTGTGTCGGAAGTACTGAGTGGAATCAACTCCTTACTCAACATCTGAAAAGACAGAAGAATAAACAGTAAGGTTCCTACTTGACTGAAATACTTCTTAGCAGTTATCAGACACGGGCCTGCTGGCAGCTCCGGCCATCCTCAGAGGGGCGGCCTGCACTCAGTGACTACAAGGGGCACCCCACCATCCTCAGAGGGGCGGCTTGTACTCACTGACTACTCGGGGCACCCCACCATCCTCAGAGGGGCGGCTTGCACTCACTGACTACTCGGGGCACCCCACCATCCTCAGAGGGGCGGCTTGCACTCACTGACTACTCGGGGCACCCCACCACCCTCAGAGGGGCGGCTTGCACTCACTACTCGGGGCACCCCACCATCCTCAGAGGGGCGGCTTGCACTCACTGACTACTTGGGGCACCCGACCATCCTCAGTGGGACAGTTTGCACTGACTACTCAGGGCACCCACCATCCTCAGTGGGACGGTTTGCACTGACTTCTCGGGGCACCCCACCATCCTCAGTGGGACAGTTTGCACTGACTACTCGGGGCACCCCACCATCCTCAGAGGGGCGGCTTGCACTCACTGACTACTCGGGGCACCCCACCATCCTCAGTGGGATGGCTTGCACTCACTCCTGTGCACCCCAAATGCATCATCTCATTTCGTTTTAAAAACGTTGTGAGGCAGCTGTTTCACAGGTCAGGAATCTGAGGTCTAAAGAGGCTACTATCTTGCCCAAAGCGTCAGAGCCATAATTCTAACCCATCTTCCTGACTCCAAGGCCCATGTTCTTCATAACTGTAACTGAATGTCCATATGTAAGAACAAGCTGTAGATGACAAAGGGAAAGTTCCTGACCACAGTGCTCTGAGTCAAAGTTATTTGTGTTTTTAAAATGATGGCAAAACGATATCCCATATGAAACTACAATGGGAAATACTGCTTTGGAGTGGAGAATGGATTAAACCAGAGGTTTTGACCAAAAAGTTACCATCCTGTTACAGTTATTGGCCAAAACAGTCTAGTTAGTATTCAATGTAGTGCATCAAAACAAAGTCATTTACCTATCTTTTCTCAAAGTGAGGTACTTCATCTATAGAATGCCTATATAACGTACACTACTTGGAGATCTTTGTTACAATGACAACCCCTGTCTCTAACCTCCAGGCTGGCACAAAATGGGTACCCAAGACACATTTGCTAAATGTATGAGTAAAATGTAAAAATATTAGCCCAGCCCTGGCCAGTTTGGCTCAGCGGTTAGCACGTCAATCTGCGGTCCAGAGAGACCCAGGCTCGGTTCCCGCTAAGGGCACGTACTTCGGCTGCAGTATGTCCCCGGCCCTGGTTGGTCGTGCGGGTGGCAGCCACTCGATGTGTCCCTTTCACATCAGTGTTTCTCTCTCTCTCTCTCTGTTCCTGTCTCTCCCTCCCACTCTACCTGAACAAAAAAGGAAAAATGTCCTCGGGTAAGGATAAAAAAAATATATATATATATTAGCCCAAAAGACATAACATTTGATGTAAAAATACATTCACAAGTTCCCTCTTGTCCCTGATCAGATTTGATTTCTCTTGTCTATTACATTCTTACACCACTTCGTCTGTATTTGAGCGTTCTGTTGCTGGGCTACGTCAGAATTACACTGTGAGCTTCCAGATATTAGCACTAAGTTTAGTCATTTTTGTATATGCACTGATGCATTTCAAATAGCTAGTACTTGTTCAACTGAATTAAATAGTATGTTATACTTATCTTGTAGCTTACAGTAAACTTTTTTACAGACCATAAGATGTGCACTTAATCCACTGAATTAGAATAAGAATAATAACAGCTGCCCTGTACTGAGCACGCACTGTGTATCAGACACTGTTAAGCTTTTGTTTTCATATTTAATCACTTAATTCATACACCATTCTAAGAGTGTAGTGCCATTATTATCCCTGTTTCACAGATGAAGAAATCAAGGCACAGAGCGTTTAAATAACAAGCCTGGGGTTAAGCAGAAGTAAGTGTCTGAGTCACAACTTGGACCCAGATCATACGGCTCCAGCAACTTGGCTCTTAACCACTATTCTACATTGCCTATGAAACCATAGTCTAGCTAGAAAGGGTTTGTTTGTTTTTTTATAGAATGGCTTCTTAGGAGAAATAATCAACACAGAGCAAATTTTATCGTTCATTTATTTCATGAATATTATCACTTATGTTTGTACTTACATTCCTGCAGTTTATAGTGTGAATATCTTTCATTAAATCTGTTGGACTTGAATCACCAAGGGATGAAGAAGACTGTAACCTTTAAAAAGTGATACATAAAACATTTTCTCTACTTATATATATTTTAGAAGGAAACTTTCTTCTCTGAATATATTGTAATCTGATAAAAACACAGCGAAGGAACATGAGACTGACTACCTCAACATTTTCACGATGGACCAACTTGTTTGGTGCCAGACTTATTTTTGACTATGGAGAGCTGAAAAACACTCCGTAGTAAAGAGAAACATAAAACACTGAAGTAAAAACCCTTAAGTATATCATGTTACTTATCTTAATATAGCACGTGGCAAAGTAATAGAATATACCACACTTAATTTAAAACAGCATTTGCATCAAGAATCAGTTCCTTATCAAGATACCAAACAGAACTGAAAGTAAAGTTTCCTAACATTCTGCAACCTTTAAGTAAAAAATGTGTCATATTTTTACTGTAATAGGTCATGCTCAGGGACAAAATCAATGAGATACACCATGACAAAAACATAATCATTCACTGATCATTAATCCCTTCATAAGACAAATACGTAAAACTAACAGTCCCATATAATATGAAGTACTCAATTATGTGAAACACATAATGGCATAAACAGAACTTTGTCTTTATTCCCAAGATGGCACTTCACAAGAAATCACAGAGGGAGAATTAATACAGAAATGGAATGAATTGGGTTGGAAAACAGAAGGAAGGATCAGCGGCTTGTCTTGGGGTTTTTTCACAGGACAGTAATGTAAATAACCTGGCTGGCTTCTCCTTCTGGGGTTCATGGCTTAAAATCACCACCTGCTCACTTGGCTTAAAGATAAAACTACCCCTCCCCCTATACCAGATTACTCTTCGAACGTGGCTTTCTCCATGTTAGTCCACTGGGCAGAAATCTGCTGTTTAAGTTCCTCTACTACCTGCCTTCACTTGAAACTCCCACTGCTCTCAGCAACCACCCTGCTTGCTCCCGCCCCCTCCACGCACTGGCTGAAGTGCCCCCGCGCAGAAATGCCTTCCCCATTGCCTCCTGGCCATTTTAACGGTACCCAGCTGTCACTGGTTTAATTTCCACTCCTCTTAAAATGTCCTTCTAGCGTAGATGGTCAAATAATTTTCAACAAGGGTGCCAAGACCATTCAACAGGGGAAAGGCCAATCTTTTTAATAAACGGCGCTGGGAAAACTGGTCACCCACATGCAGAAGAAGGAAGTTAAACTGTTACCTTACACCATATACAAAAATTAACTCAAAATGGATCAACGACCTAAATGGAAGAGCTAAAACTCTCAGCAGAAAACAGAAAGAAAAGGTTTCATAACGTTGGATTTGGCAAAGATTTCTTGGGTCTAATACCAAAAGTGCATGTAACATAAGATGAGAAATAGTAAAAATGTATCAAAACTTCTGTGTATCAAAGGACACTATCAACAGGGTGAAAAGACACCCAGAGATTGGGAAAAAATGTTTATAAGTTGTATCTGATAAGGGGCTAATATCCAGAATAAAGAACTCCTACAACTCAACAATAACAAAAATCCGATTGAAAAATGAATAAAGGACCTAAATTGGCATTTCTCCAAAAAAAAAGATACACAAATGGCTAATAAGCACATGAAAGGATTCACAACAACACTAATCATTAGGCAAATATAAACCAAAACTACAATGAGATACCACTTTACACCCATTAGGATAACTATTGTCAAAACAACAACAACAAAACAGAAAATAACAAGCATTGGTGAGAAATTGGAACACTTGTACACTGTTGGTACAGAATATAAAATGGTGAAACTGCTATGGAAAACATAATAGCAGTTCCTCAAATTCAACAGAATTACTAAATGATCTAGCAATTCCAATTCTAGGTGTATACCCAAAAGAACTGAACGCAGGGACTAGAACTTACACAGCATCACTGTTAACAATGGCCACAAGGTAGAAGCAACTCAGGTATCCATCAAGACGTGACAAATGTCTTACTAGCAATTTTTTTTCAATTTAAACTATTTTAAATTTAAAAACATAAATTCAAACTGTACAAAAACAATAAAAAGCAAAAATTTCTTCTTTTCTCCATTTCCCAGCCTTTAAAACCTAGTCCCAAATGTAGGAGCTAACAAATTCTGAACAAATTACTCATATTGTTATAGGTTCCTTCTCTATAATTCCAAAATCCAAAAACAAAGATTTTCCATAATTCATTTAACAGCAAAATCTGAATTAATCTGAACCCAGAAAAACTTGACCAGACTAGTATGAAGCTAATTTTTTTTTTATTCCACTTTGTCTTACTCACCACAAGTATTTACAAAGCCTCATTCCAAAAAAGAAGAAAAAAATATATATAGTTTTTAAATGTTTTTATTGATTTTCTTTTCTTTCGTTCTTTCTTTTTTTTAGAGAGAGAGAGGAAGAAAGAGATAGAAACACAGATGAGGGAGAGAAACATCAACACCCCCCGACTGGGGATCATGTTAGTCTACTGGGCAGAAACCCGGCATGTGCCCTGACCAGGAATCTAACCAGGACTTCAGTCCATGGGGCAACACTCAATCCACTGAGCCATACCAGCTGGGCCCAAAATACATTTTAAAGCTTTATTATGGAAAACTTCAGACAGATATAAAAGTAGATAATACAGTGACATCTCATATACCCACCAAATAGCTTTAATCATTTATTCTTCCCAATCTTGTTTAATGTATATACCCAAACTCTTACCTCCCTTCCTCCCAGACATTTTCCCATTTAATCTGTAAATACTTCATTGCAGAATGAATGATTTAATTGATTATGGGATGCTGCCCATGATGTTCTCTGGGTGTATTACTCATTGGATTCCAAAACACTATCTTTCTAAAATCTAAAGAAATTGAGTTCAAAACTTTATTTTGCCTCAAGAGCTTTCAATGGGCAATTGTGGGCCTATCTACACACACGTTCACATATCCACACACCTTTCCTTTTCCTTATACAAGTGGGTTATTATACATACTACTGTTTTGTTCTGTTCCTATTTCCTTTTTCTATTAACCATATATCGTAAACATCTTCAGGTATTAGCATAAATAGAGCTACCTAATTTTTGTTGTTGTTGTTTTTTTTTTTTATCCTCACCCGAGGACATTTTTCCATTTTTTGTTCAGATAGAGTGGGAAGGAGAGAGAGGAAGAGAGAGAGAGAGAAACATCGATGTGAAGGGACACATCGAGTGGCTGCCACCCGCACGACCAACCAGGGCCGGGGACAAACTGCAACCGAGGTACGTGCCCCTAGCGGGAACCGAACCCAGGTCTCTCTGTACCGCAGGCCGACGCTCCAACCGCTGAGCCAAACCAGCCAGGGCAGAGCTACCTAATTTTTAACAGTTGCAGAGTAGTACTCCATTGTATGGATATGCAATAACAAGTTATGGCTATAATAAATAAATATTTGAAGCACTACTGTAAAAAGTGCATCAAGGCCCTGGCTGGTTTTCTCAGTGGTTAGAGCGTCGGCCTGTATTCCAGAAAGACTTGGGTTCGGTTCCCGCTGAGGGCACGTACCTCAATTGCAGTTTTTCCCTGGCCCTGGTTGGTCGTGTGGGTGGCAGCCACTTGATGTGTCCCTTTCATGTCGATGTTGCTCTCTCTCTCTCCCTCCCTCCCACTCTATCTGAAAAAAAAAATGGAAAAATATCCTCGGGTGAGGAAAAAAAAAAAAGTGCATTAAGAAACAGTCTTGTTCATAGATCTTTTCATGGCTGTATGAGACTATTGCTAAGTTTAAGGTTATATACACTTACATTTTGGATAGGTATAGTCAAGTTGCCTTCCATTGTAGTGAGGCTTATTTATATGCCCACACACAGTTTGAGAGTGACTGTTTCCTCACACTCTCACCAATATTATCAAACTTTCACATCTTTGACAACCTTCTAAATGAAAATAGGTATTTCATTTAGTTTGTACATATATGTTTTTAACTGTGAGTGGCGTTCAGCAATTTTGAGTTTCTTGGCCATTTGTATTTTTTTCAATACATGTCCACTGTCCAACATTGTTTATTAAGCTATTTTTAAAAGTTAGCTAATAACCTTATTCTTTAAATTCTATATAAAGTTTAATATAGATTAAGGTTAATATATAAAAGTATATAAAGTTTATTATATAAAGAGTTTAATAACTTTATTCTTTATACTATAAGACTCTCATTTGTTAACATAATTAGTCCATTTTATCATGGACTAATTTTCTGCAGTTTATAATTTATCTTTTAATTTTGTTATGCTTAGGTTTTGAGTTTTTATATAATTTATCAATTTTTTTCTTAATGAATTCTGGATGTTATGTGATGATTCTTACGTGACTTTCCAAACTAAGATTATAAAAATTTATACCTATGTTTGAAATACTTTTATAGGTTTACTTTGAACTCTTCATTTATTTTAGTATAAAGAATAAAGAGGGGTCTAGCTTTATTTTTTTCCCAAATAACTTTAGAATAATACTCTTAACAGTTTAATCTTTTCCCCCTTACTGATTTAACATGCCACTTGTACCATCTGATAATTTTCCATAAGCCTTTGAGTTTTTCTCTGAAATCTATTTTTTCACTAACCAATTTTGTGCATTGTACCAAAATGTTTTAGTGCCTGTAGCTTTATAATATAACATCTGATAGTTTTAGTTTCAATCTATTACTTTTGTTTTTTGGCATTTTCCTGGATATCGTAATATGGCTACTATCATTTGTTAGCTTCTAAAAAACATTTTGACTGGATTCGCACTGAATGCATAGGTTAGTTCAAGGAACACTGACATCCTTACAATACTGAGTTTTCCCATTAGAAAACAACTTACACCTGGAAAGTTATTCAAGTCAACTGCATTTTATAGTTGCTGGCTTTTTTCATATGGTTTTAGATACTTCCTGTAAAATGTATATCTAAATACCTTTTTATCTTATTTGTTGCCTCTGTGAAGGTGATCTTCTCTTCCATTATATTGCTGAGCTGGTTACTGTTTGCATATAGGAAACTTACTGATTTTAGAATACTGGTTTTGTGAATATAATCACTGTACTTGTGATATTTGCAAAAAATAGAACATTACCTTTGTAAGTCCAGAGCTTCATTTGCAATGTCTGTTCCGATACTACCAGCACCGAGCACGGTACCAGTGCGCAGCCCAGGCACACTGAGGCAAGGCTGTCTAGAGGACTCTAAACAACAAAAGGAAACATTCAACTGAGGACTTTAAAAAAGTATATAACTTTGGTTGATATCTTTCTTTCAAATATTTCTAGCTTTAAAAGAAACAGGCTAGCTGCATCCTAAAATGTTAGAAATATTCTTGCTTGTATTACAAACATAATTCATGATGGCTTACAATGTTTATTCAAGAGTCACCCTGGCCAGTTTGGCTCAGCCGTTAGAGCGTCGGCCTGTGGTCCGGAGAGACCCGGGTTCGGTTCCCGCTAAGGGCGCGTACATTGGTTGCAGTTTGTCCCAGGCCCTGGTTGGGTCGTGTGGGTGGCAGCCACTCCATGTGTCCCTTTCACATCGATGTTTCTCTGTCTCTCTTCCTCTCTCTCCCTCCCACTCTATCTGAACAAAAAATGGGAAAATGTCCTCAGGTGAGGATAAAAAAAAAAAAAGAGGGTGTATGAGTCAAATGTGTAGAAAGTCATCGAGGGTACAATCATGACCTGTAACCCTTGAGTACAGATGGTTCCGTCCCACTCTTATATCGATACTAAAGCCAGAACAATACTACTTTATTTTTTGATATTTCCTAATATTTTTATTTATGGAAGTGATACATTATATAATTCCTATGGTAAGAAGCTGACACAGACAAGCAAAAACTCCCCCTTAATGCTTTCGATTAATGTGTTCAACAGATAGTATATTGAGTGTCATGACATACAAGGAACTATGCTAGCTGCCAGGTATAGATGATGGATAACACACCATTCCTACTCTTTAAAGAACTCTGAGTGAACAAGGAATTGCAATACAACCTAAGATTATAATAGAGATGTGACCAAAGTACTTTGGGAATTCTGAGAAGGATAAGTCTTTTCTTTTTTTTTTTTTTATTAATTAATTTTTGTTACAGATGTTTCTCCTAGAAGGATAAGTCTTTTCAGCTTCACCTGGAAACTTTCACCTCTCCAAGACAGAGAAAGATGGCAACAACAGTGATAGTCTTAGTAATACGTTTCCATCATCTAACACTAAGCTTACCTTCCAACAAGCGACAGCTGCGAGGAAGTAATGGTGCTTCTCCGGTCTCACTATGTCCCCTAGGATTTAGAAACACCAGTGACTTCTTTTTTTAAGGTGAAGAAAATTGTTAAAGTAACTATATTAAGCTCTGTGTGTTTAATTTTTTTTATTGTTGACTCTATTCCAGATGGCCCTCCCCACCCCCCTAAGCCTCCACCACATTATTGATAGTCTACGTCCATGGACTATGCACTCTCCCCTCTCTGTCCTCCCCATTCTCCTCCCCTCTGAGATCTGTCAGTCTGTTCCATTTATCCATGCCTCTGATATTAACAATATGTGTATATAAAACAAATGGGACAAGAAATAACAAATTAGTTTTCACATGATCTCATTTATGCGTGGAATCTAATTTATTTCTTGACTCATTTGTTTTATTTATGCATATTGTTGATATCACCACCAGAGACCAAGGTATAATGAGCTAAGTACCAAATGCCCTATTACCCTATAAAGTACATGCTGTCATAGTTACAAACTCTCAGTTCATATACTAAATGATAAGAAGGAAAGGGTTATTGGAACAGGGAACCAGATACTGCTAGAGGTACTGAGTTTTTGGGGCTTTTTTAAAAAGCTCAATATTATAGATAAGGAAATAGGTTTGAAGAAACATTATAGCAATTAAAAAAAAAACTTATAGAAAAAGGATAATACTAAGAACAGGGCCATGCGAGTATAGTAACAAGCGAGGAGAAGCTGGCTCCTCCTTCAGGCTGACTTGGGAAGCAGTGCTCGGGCTGGATTTCTGCTCATCCTCCACCAACGTCCCTGCACAAGCACCTGCGGTACCCTGGGCTAGAAGGTGCTCATGCAAAATGACGTGGAGAACAAAACAATTTCTCACAACAATACAGTTTAAAGTCACACCCATATCACTTAGTGATGGGATAAGACAAAGCCATGGAGGGTAGGAAGGAAATGTTTGAATAAATACCTTTACGATCATATGTTACACTAAGCAGAAAGAAATATATTTTAAAAAGGGTAATCTTACTTCCGGTCAAGATGGTGGCGTAGGGAAACGCGGTATCGCGTCCTCCCACAACCACATCCAAGTAACAACAAAACTACAGAACAACCATCATCCAAAACCACCCGAAATCAAGCTGAATGGAAGTCCTACAACTATGGAATTGAAAAAAAAAAAAAGCAGCTACATCCAGACCGGTAGGAGGGGCGGCGGCGGCGGTGGCGTGGCGGCACGACCGGCTGGTCCCACACCCAAGTGTGGCGGATAAAAATCAGGAGGCTCCCGTGGCTGGGAAGGTCCTTCCTGAGGACTGAGGGGTCCCCGTCCCACACCAGGTGCCCCGCTCAGGTTTCCAGTGCCAGGGAGAGAATCCCCATAACTTCTGGCTGGAAAAACCAGCGGAAACTGAGGCTCAGGGAAGCTGACCTGGCTGGAGCCACAGGCAGCTCCTTAAAGGGCCCGCGCACAGACTTATCGGACTCTCTCCCTCTAAGTTCGGAGGGGAGGCAGCTCGAGGGGCACCAGAGACATACAGGGAAGAACTGAGCTGTTTGGCACTGGAGCGAGGGCTGGAGAGGGAGCTTCCTCAGGGACAAACGTGCGGTAAGAGGCCTTTGTTCCTTTGGTGAGCCCTTCCCTGGGGCGGCAGACAGTCGCCATATCTGGGACTCCAGCAACCTGGTTCACACTGGTAGCCCCGCCCTACTGACTCCCTGAGGCCCCGCCCCACCCAACTTTCAGGCCCACCCAAGCTGTTGCCACTTGCTTAACCATAGGATTGGCCGGTCTTGGATCCTGCTTCAGGTTTTTCCTAAATTCTTTCAAACGAGCAGCATCGGGTCTCAGGGAGCCCCATACCTCTCATTAAGTAATACACTGAAACAAACACAGGGAGGCAGCCAAAATGAGAAGACAAAGAAACAGGTCCCAAATGAAAGAACAGAACAAAACCCCAAGAAAAGAACTAAGCGAAATGGAGATAAGCAACCTAACAGATGCTGAGTTCAAAATACTGCTTATAAGGATGCTCAATGAACTCAGTGAGGGCCTCAAGAGCATAAAAAAGGACCAGTCAGAAATGATCGCTGCACAGTTAGAAACGAAGGAGGCTTTAACTGAAATAAAGAATAATTTACATAGCTTCAATAATAGAGTACGTAAATCCAAGGAGCAAACCATCGATTTGGAATATAAGGAAGCAAAAAACGCCCAATCAGAACAGCAAAAAGAAAAAAGAATCCAAAAAAATGAGGATAGTGTAAGGAGCCTCTGGGACAACTTCAAGCGTGCCAACATTCGCATCTTGGGGGTGCTGGAAGGAGAAGAGAGAGAACAAGAAATCGAAAACCTGTTTGAAACAATAATGGCAGAAAACTTTCCTAACTTGGTGAAGGAAACAGACATACAAGTCCAGGAAGCACAGAGGGTCCCAAACAAGATGAACCCCAAGAGGCCCACACCAAGACACATCATCATCAAAATGCAAAAGGTTCAAGACAAAGAGAGAATCTTAAAAGCAGCAAGAGAAAGGCAGCTAGTTACCTACAAGGGAGTTCCCATAAGGCTGTCAGCTGATTTCTCAAAAGAAACTTTGCAGGCCAGAAGGGAGTGGCAAGAAATATTCAGAGTGATGAAAACCAAGAACCTACAACCAAAATTACTCTATCCTGCAAAGCTGTCATTTAGAATTGATGGACATATAAAAACTTTCCCAGACAAGAAAAAGTTAAAGGAGTACATCACTACCAAACCGTTATTATATGAAATGATGAAGGGTCTTTTTAAAGAAAAAGATAAAATGTATGAACAAATAAAATGTCAATGAATACATATCTATCAACAATGGAATCTACAAACAAAATGAACAGGAAGAACAGGAACATTCTCATAGATACAGAGAACATTTTGTTGGTTGCCAGTTGGGAAGGGGGTTGGGGGAATGGATGAAAAAGGTGAAGGGATTAAGAAGCACAAATTCATTGCTAGACTGACAAACCTCAAAGGGAAAGGAGTTGGGGGGGTGGGAAGAAATAAACCAAAGAACTTATATACATAACCAATGGACACGGACAATAGTTTGGGAAAAGGTGAGAGGGGGGCGGGAGTGGGGAGGAGGGGGTCAATGGGGGAAAAATGTGGAACATCTGTAATACATTTTACATCCAACAATAAAGATGTGGAAAAAAAAAAAAAAAAAAAAAAAAAAAAAAAAAAAAAAAAAAAAAATAAAAAGGGTAATCTTTCAGCTTAATTCTGAGAACAAATGCCAATAGACAGTGAATGAATTACTCAGTATCTATCTCACGTTGTAACACACAGCCAGAGGGTCACACAATTTTAATGGGTTAGCAAGATGAGAAGGAGGAAGCAAAGATATTCACTTGAAGTTAATAAAAGGTCTTCCCAACATAAAAAATTACTTACGAAACCAAAGTGTTGACAGACACAATATATTCCAGTTCCTTGGTCCAAGGATTTGTGAAACTAAACCATTGGCTTCTTAAAGTCACAAAAGAGCCATCTTTCGCTCTGAATTTGTATAAATCTGTAAATATTTTCTCTTTGCTCTGTAGAACTTAACAAGAAAAGATAATGATCAGTATAATGATCTACCACTAGATAAATCAAACTCTTAAGGATTAATTCAAATTTTGGATTTCACAGGAATGAGACATTCAGAGTTGAAGCTACCATTAGAAAGTCCCAAAGTCTTACCACTCACTGCATACCTGCTTTGTGCTTGGTGGTCAAATTACTGTGGTCATCTTGATGAAAATATTCATAACAAGAAGTTCCCAAAAGTTCCTGAGGCAGATATCCTAAAATTGCTGTTGCCCTGGTTTTAAAATGGATAAGAAACTTCAGAACTGGTGACCAAATGCCCTTCCAGAACACCGCGGGTCCATATGTGGTGGGGATAGGAGGGAAGTGGCCTGGGGGAGGAGTAACCCGGGTGCATCACTGGGTTCCCTTCGGCTGCCCCAGACCCAGACTAGAGCTGCAAAACAGAATGGACACCCAGGCACGAGGCTACCCCACAGGGCACCCACCCAATCCACAGTGTGCTTTTTCTACCCTTCGCCAAGAAAATTGTGGCCAGAGACCATGCCCAGTTTCTGCACCACTGGCTAAGAAATAGTCCAAGTTTACATTTTGGTTTGAACGAATTTACTGATATATTCATATTGCTATTTCATTTAAACCTTATTTCCTGTTCTGAAGCCTTAAAAGAAAAAGTCCAACAGAACCAAGCTACATTTTAATAGCCTTACGTATCCCACTGAACTCTAATCATGAAGGCATATAAATGTTACCTTTGGTCCACATAGACAAATTTTCCATTCCTTGCAAAGCGGGTTATAAATTCAGTTGGTTTCACGTTAACCTCTCCGCTGTTCTGTGGGACGATATATGGATATAATCTCCCGAAGGCAACAAGGCAGGTGAAACTACTGTCTTTCTGACTGTCCCTTTCTTCTTCCATCCCAACAATACTTGTAGGCCAGCTTCTCAAGTAACCAGTGCAGTGGATGGTACAGAATCTTCTATGATCTGATTCAAAACGTTTTTAAAAAGAGCATGTGTCAATTATATCTCAATAAAACTGGACAAAAAAGATAAAGTAGCATTTGAATCATTATGAATAAATTCTTAAATTTCTTACATTGACATTTATAATACTTATAATTGTACTATAAAATATTCTTTGAATATGCTAAAACATGAAAAGGGAATAGTATTCCATTGAAAAGAAATCATCAATTGTGTTTAACAACTTTATTCTTTTTTTTTTAAATTTTATTTGAATCACTTTTTTTTTTTATCCTCACTCGAGGACATTTTTTTTTTTTCCATTTTTTGTTCAGATAGAGTGGGAGGGGGAGAGAGAGAGAGAGAGAGAGCAACATCGACGTGAAAGGGACACATTAAGTGGCTGCCACCCGCATGACCCAACCAGGGCCGGAGACAAACTGCAAGCGAGGTACGTGCCCTTAGCGGGAACTGAACCCGGGTCTCTCAGGACCGCAGGCCGACACTCCAACCGCTGAGCCAAACCAGCCAGGGCAACAACTTTATACTTAATGGGTTATTTTTCTCAGGAACTAAACTATACATATATCAAAAAGTAGGCAGACTGCTTTAATTTAGGTTTAAATAGGTCCATAATTATTTATTTCTAAGTCAAGTTTTAAAAATACAATAATTTATATATTAGAAAAAGTTAAACTTCATGCTCTCCTGCTCTTAGCCACAAAGATACTGTTTTCAGCTTATTAAATTTTTAATATATTATCATTTATATTCCAAATTTAAAGGATAATCATCCATCCATACATTCTTAAAGTTTTTATGTTTGTACTTGTAATGGTTATAATAAATTATAGAAAAAATTTAAATATTTGAAGAAATTTATAATAAAAGGTATTATAAAAATAAAATTTGACTCAAATTTCACTTTTCAGAAAATAATCCCAAGCAATTAACTCATAGGAAAAAGCCTGTCAACCAAGTCCAAGTAAAATAAAAAATGGAAAATAATGCTCAAGTATCAGGAAATGTTAAGAAAACAATGAAATGCAAGATAGACAGTATGCAGATTATGGCAATCCACCAAAAAAAACAAACAAAAAAAAAAAACATGATTTAAAGATTAAAAAGAAGAAGAAAGGGCTGGTAAAATTATGTAGACAGTTTGTGATATCATTTAGTGAAGACCAGAACAGTGCAGGCAGCATAGGCACTATTTGGTAAGACTGTTACTACAACAATTCTTTTAAACACATTTTTGAAAGAGGTGAGATGGGCTGTCTTACCAAACAGCAACTATTAGTAATGGCAAAGACTGCTAGAACACTATGTGCCATGCTCTGTTTTAAGGGCTTTAAATGTATAATTCATTTGATCCTCTCGCTAGTCCTGGGAGGTGTTCTAATAGTGTCCGCGTTGTGTTAGGAAACAGTGAACACCAACGCCACAGCAGGAAAGGGTGGAACCGAGGTGACATCCAGACAGGCTGGCTCCGTGCTTCCTTTCTGGGCCCCTCGTGTCCTGCTACTTGTTAGTGAGTGCTCTGTCACAGGTGTTCAAATAGGAGCTGCCTGGATACTGGAAGAGGAGGGGTACAAAAAGGTATTCCAGTGAGAGGGAACAGCCACTGCAAGTTGACAGCCAAGCGATAGCAGTCAGATGTGGCTGAAGCATAGTCCGTGATGGGGAAGTGGAGACAAAGCAGGCACCAGTTTCGCTCCTGTAAGCCATGCACAGGACCTTGTGTTCAACACCTAACACATATCACCCCTCCATGGCCCACAGATACCTTACATTACAAGTCATGATCTCTTCCAAGCCTGAATCAAGTTTATCACTTATTCCTTATCCTGTTTAACGCACCATAATCAATCCAGGTAAGCAGGCGGTCTCCAAAGACCAGAGCGGAGGTCAAACAGAGCCACAGGTGTCAGACATTGGAAACCAGATGGTATGCCCCTGAAGGGGAGGTGTGAAAGGACATGTCATGTGGTACTGACGGCATCTGCCACACTTGCTCAAGAAGCCAATGGATTCTGGGTGTGTTACTGTACTACTGATTATCCGACCAAGATAAACTTAATACCTAAGATGTTTGGAAGTCATCCGTCCTTCATCAGCCTTTGATTTCACAAGTTGAGATACATGAAAAATGGTATCCCTATCTCAAAGCTTTTTCAAAGTCTGAATCTATGACATTGCTGTTAGAATCAGGGTAGAAATGTATTTAGTGTCAATCTTGCTTATTTAAAAACTTGTATTATAGAAAATCTCAAACATACACAAAAACAGAGAGAACATACAGTTGACCCTTGAACAATGTGGTTGTGGGGTTAAGGGCGCTGACCCCCCAGCAGTCAAAAATCCCTGTATAACGTCTGACTTTACTGACAGCCTATTGTTGACCAGAAGCCTTGCCAATGACAAGTCACTTAACACACATTTTGTACATTATATGTATTATAGACTGCATTCTTGCAATAAAGTAAGCTAAAGAAAATAAAGTGTTGAGAAAATATATTTACAGTATTTACTGAAAGAAAAAAACCTCCATGTCCATGGAGTTCAAATCCATGTTATTGTGTGACTTGTGGCTAATTCTGGAAATAGCCTTTCAATAAATCTTAAATTCAGTTTCAATTATCATTAAAAGGGCTGCTTTTTCGACTCTCTTCTTTTATACTTAAATATAACAAGCAAAACTATGGAGACAAAGGGTTAGTGTGTGCTAGAGGTGGTGGTGGGGAGAGATGAACAGGCTGAGCACAGAGAATTTTTATAAAGATAAAATGATGATAATTTGTACTATTATAATGATGGTGATATGTCATTATATATTTGTCCAAACCCACAAAATGTACATTGCCAAGAGTGAACCCTAAGGTAAACTATGGACTTTGTGTGATTGTGATGTGTCCATGTAGGTTCATACTTGGTAAAAAGACACCATTCTGGTGAAAGACGCTGATAATGGGGGAGACTATACATATGTGGGAGCCAAGAACATATGGAAAATCTCTGCCTCCCTCTCAATTTTGTTGTAAACCTAAAACTGTTCTTAAAAATAAAAAAAATTGTAATGTAACAGGTCATGGTAAAAGGGAAGAAAATTACCTTTATTAACTTTCATCGTTAATAGGGAGTGGTCTTAAAACAGTCAATTACATTGACCAATCACTATTGGAGAGAATGATTTAGTAGCAACTATATGCAAAATATATATTTCTCTTGACATTCTCCTTGGTTAAATCGCGATGTGAAATGATTTCACGCATGGGATGCGGTCCACGTGGCAGACCAGGGTTCCACTGTGCAGTTATCTTATCCTGGTCCAGGCATCTGTCTACACATCTGTCTGCAGCCAGTTCTCAAACCCCAGGCACTTTGAGGAAGGGCCTTACTGATTGCTAACACATGCCCTTACCAGCCTTAGGCCAAGTCAGCCTTATGCCTTTGGCCATAGCTCTGGAGTGTCAAGTGAATACTTGGTTCAAGTGCTTGAGCAGATTAAAAAGTCCTTTTTTGAGAAGATATTTGACTCTCATTTGCAGGCATCTGTGTGGCCCAGCTCGATGTGGGAGGGCACCTCCATGTGTGGGCAGGAATACGTTCCTGCAAGAGTAGCCAACCCCTTGCTGTGCCTCCACTGCAGAAATGGATCCCTTTCATGAATAACCTTGGCATCTAGGAAGCTACTCCAGTAGGTGGCATGGCAGAGTGGAAAGAACACAGATGTTACTGCTAGATTTCTGATTCTGCCACTTTCTATGACTTTAGACAAATTACATAACCTTTTTAGGATTCAGTTTGCTCATCTGCAAGATGGGGGCAGTTTGCACAGTCTTATTATGTAGATTGAATTAGGATTTATGCAAAATGCTTGGCATATAGATGTTAAATAATTACTAATTTTCTTCCTGCTCTTTTATTTTCCTTCACTTTTTTTTCTGAGTCTCAAATAATGGCTTTCCTTCACTGAGTGCTAACTAGGAGCCAAGCACCGCAGTAGCCACACGTAATACTTGCCATACTTCACGGGCTACTTTATACCCATTTTATCAGTCTGCTAGGACTGGCAAAACAACATACACAGACTGGGTGACTTAAGAGAAATTTAGTTTTCTCCCAGTTCTGGAGGCCAGAAGCCAGGATCAAGGTGTTGGCAGTTTGGTTTCTCCTGTGGCCTCCCCCCGACTTGCAGACAGCAGACGTGTCGTGTGTCCTCACATGGCCTCTTCTCTGTGTGTGCATTCCAGGTGTCTCTCTTACGAAACACTAGTCATACTGGATTAGGGCCCCACTCCTATGACCTCATTATCCTTAATGACCTCTTTAAAGGCCCTGTCTCCAAGAACTGTCACACTGGGAGCGGGAGCTTCAACATGTGAATTATGGGGAAACAATTCAGTCCATAACCCCATTTTCTATATACTGAGAGAAGCCTGCCTCAGGTTGCACAGTTGTTAAGCAGCAGACCTGACACTAAAACCCTAATGAAGTCAAAGCCCAGGCCCTTTCTACTCTTTCCCAAAACCTGACCACTAGCATGGCTGTTCTGAGGGAGCTTAGAGGAGAACCTGGAACACTGGAAGGACTTACAAATGTCAGTTCCATTAGCTCATCACAGAATTCCGCTATGAATCAGCTTTAATTGACCATTTGCCCATTTGCCAGATATTCTTAAAATATCTATATTTTTCCAGTATGATTATCAATATTTTTTTTAAAAAAATGTTTCCCTGCCTCTCCCATAAATCTCAAAGTTAAAAAAAAATCCTTCTAGAAACCACATGGAAGAACTAAAGTTTGATTATTACATTCTTCAAGAATGATGTTTAGATTTTTTTAACCTATGACTATACACATGTGTTTCTGCTTAAGATTCAATATTTACAAGACTGCTTCCAAATACTCCAACCGATCCATGCAGTTGCCTGAAGGACGTGTCACTTTTCTTTTTGTGTCTTTGCAAAGGGTTAAAAAACCACATATGGAAAGCATTATACTTCCAAGATTATCATCAG